AGAGAGAGAGAGAGAGAGAGAGAGAGAGAGAGAGAGAGAGAGAGAGAGAGAGAGAGAGTTTTCCATCGATAGGATGAGCAATGCATCGGCCAGCAGGTAAGTCTCCAACCCCACTGCTGGCCTCACGCGATAGGATGAGCAAAATAGAATGAATCTTTCGCTCTGGGGACTTCGTGGAGGTGAGATCAGAGGGGGAGGTGGTGGCGGGTTGTTGATTGCAGTGCTGATGGTGGGGGTTCTCCTTTGCTATCCTTTCTATTTCATCTCCTCTTCTTTTTGATCTAGTGGTCTCTGTTCCGCGGGTAGGGGCTGAACTTTCTGTGACGTGGTGTTAACGGGTTTGACGTGGACGCTCACAACGCGATAGCATAGGCAGTGACAAGGACGTGATTGCGTCCCGCTAAATCTCTTCTGGTCAGTGCGGCGTGCCAAGGGGCTTTTAGCACGGGCTATGGGAAGGTGAATATGCTCCTTCTGCAGGAAGAGGCAGGGGCAGAGTTTGGACTCTGCAGCGGCAGGGTAGCTGGATCATGGGGTCGGGGGAGTGGAGCGCTACGTGAGGGTTTGTACGAATCGAGACTTCTGCTTCTCCAAGGTGACTTCACGCAGCGACGGGATCTCCAGTAATTTATGAGGCATGATCTTAATTTGCTGTTGTTTTTCCTGATATAAGAATCTCATAGAAAAATTCATGGATGGTAATTCAAAAAAAAATTAGTAGATCTTGATCGGTAGTTTGTATTTTTCTACTGATTGTCTCATTTTGTACGCAATAGATTGTCTTTTTTGGATGCTTAGTACTTTTTGAATTACTGTGTGTTTCGGCTTAGTATCTTCTGATTACTGCCTGAGTAATTTTTGTTCACAACTGATTGTCGATTTGTTGTTTCTGTTTAGTAATTCTTGATTTACGGTCTGAGTGATTTCTTGAACTTGGGTTCTGGAAATCAAAGTCGAAAGTCCGTGAGGACATCATAATCATTTCCTACTTGCTCTGAATTGATTTCTGTTTTGTAATTCCTGATTTACGGTCTGAGTGATTTTTTGAACTAGGGTTCTGGAAATCGGAGTCGAAAGTCCGTAAGGACATCAAAATCAATTTCCTATTTGGACAAAATATTTCAAAATGTATCTTCGATTGATCTCCTGACTTAGATGTTAAAAATTCATGACTTAAACTTCCTTTGATTCCTTTTATTTCTCTTATTCCCAATCTCTTATCTCGATTTCGATAGATTTTTTTGATTTTGGTGCTAATTAATTGTACTCAGTAATTAGTCTTAACCCTATGGTTGCTAATCATAACATCGTGTGGTAAATTTTGATTCGGATTGTTTGAACTTCTTGGTCTTGAGGGGGGTAATTGTGGCTTGCTGTGTATATATGTGGGGTCTTCCTTGAGGGTTGGAGCCTCCCCCCGCATGAGGGTTTCACAAGGTGGGAGGTGTTATTCTTGGAGGGGGGAGGCGGTATTGGGGGATTGTCGTCTCTTAGCCAGATTGATTTAGGGTCGGATCAGTACTGGCGGGTGGGGAGAGAAGGCAAGGGGGTGGCTGCTTATAGCAGTGTGTTAGGATTTTGTTTTCTAAGGGAAGGAGTGACTTCGATGGTACACAGTGAGCCGAAGGAGGGGGAAGTTAGATTCGAAGGAAGGAAGGTAGGAAGGGATTTTCAACAGAAAGGTTTGTTGGTCAGGGTAAGTAGGTTAAAAGGACGAGGCTGGGACGACACAGGACGGAGCTGGAGCCTCTGCTCTGTAACCCAGGGGGAGCTTGAAGCCTGGAAAATTATGTCGAGGGTGAAAGGCATAACCAGATCGTCCGACGTAGTCGGCGCCGGGGTATTGACCCTGTAACTTGCATAGGAGCTCGCCGCTAAGGGAATTGTCGAGGGAGGACGACACTTCCTGTCCGTCAGAATTAGGTTGATCGGTACTGGGAACGGTTGTGGTGCCCTGTTACCCTAGCAAAAGGGGGTATGAGATCAAGTGAGTTATGGTACGAGGACTGAAAGCCTGGACCGACGCTCCATCTGTTGGAAGGGGGATTCTAGGATAGTAGGCAGTTTTAGTCTTGTCCCCCCTTATATTTTTTCTAAAGATTTTTTAATGTTCAAAAAAGAGTTGGGTGCTTAGTGGTCCTAGGAATGTTTTTTAGGACTTCGGGATCCCTACTAACTTGTCCTAGGTGGCTTCAATGTTGTTATACTCAGTGATCCGCGGTTGTTGGACGCCAGAACGACGCTGACCGGTGTTGGGGTGTTTGCCCTGTAACCTGCGATGCAGGAGCGTGAGGTCTGGTAGAGAGATTTGGGAAAGTCTTGGGGTGGGCTTTTCACGGGACAACCAAGGGTTGTTGCCGGGACGAGGCTGGTCGGAGCTGTGGTGAGATGCGTTGCCCTGTAATCCAACAGAAGTGAGGGTGTGAGACCTAGAAGAGATCGGCAGAGAGTACGACAGTTTTGGAGAACGTTGGAAGGGTTTGTGTGGGATTTCGAGGTTTTGGAACAATCATAAGACCTTTGTGGCTTATTCTCATGCTTCTGGAACGACGATAACAGTTCTTAGGTACCTCAAAAAGAAAATAAGGTGAGTTGGGAAGATGGTGGGTTATCACGCGTCCTACCAGTAAGGGGGCTAGTTGGTAGGATGGGAGTATGGCATAGCAGCAACAGAGATGGTGGCTCCGCTGCAGTCAGTTTTGTCGGAGTGAGGTAAAGTGGATTGATGGGGGGGGTTCCGGGTCGTTTCGGAATTTTGCTTAATCATGAAGTTGTCATAGACATGTCTGAAGTAGCTCCAGTTTCTTTGAGCCAAAGCTGGGTTATGGCCCCGGTATCTCATGTCCCCAAATTCCATCCTTAGGCCAATTAGATTTTCTAGTAGTTCCTTGAAGCTTTCTGAATGTACTTGTTATGGGACGCTGGGCCCGGTTCCCAGTTTGTGTCAATTTGTGAGGATATGGTTGTATCTATGGGACGTTGGACTCGGTTTCCAGCAGGTGCTGCTTCCCACCAATAGATGGAGCTTGTTTTCATTTAAAAAA